TATTGCCCTTGTAGGCAGACGAGCATACGGCCCACCTGATGGTGAGTGGTTACCGTCGCCCATGGACTTCAGCAATGCCAGGGGCAGAGCCAAGCCGCTGCCTACCCTCTGAGGAATTGTTCGAGATGATACCGGCATCTCGTTTTTACCATCGCACCGCCCGCCACCGGAGTAGAGTTCATCCATACTACCTGGAGCCACTGCGGTCATCCACAGTGCGTTTCCAGAGATCTTTTTTGCCACGTACCATCCGGCTATGGAATGAGCTCCCCTCCACGGTGTTTCCCGAGCGCTATGACATGTCCTTCTTCAAACGAGGCTTGTGGAGAGTATTAAACGGTAGGCAGCGGCTCGGCTCTGCCCCTGGCATTGCTGAAGTCCATGGGCGACGGTAACCACTCACCATCAGGTGGGCCGTATGCTCGTCTGCCTACAAGGGCAATAAAAAAAAAAGAGTCCGTCAATAAGATATTAACGCTGTATACTCTATGGTGTTCAATTTTGTCCTGAGCACGTGGGCTAACGTTGACCATCACAAGTTAGCTTACGTCAATGCCATTTAAAAACAAACGGATAAAATTATTAGTTACTAGCCATACTCGCCCACTTCGCCCACTTCGCTGGGCATTTAAAATTAACATTATTATCTATTGTCATTATTATTCGAGAGTCCAACACTCATATAAATATTAGCCTATCCATTAATTACATGTATTTTCTACATGGATACCAAGTTTCAAGTCAATCGGATGCACGGTTCAGTAGTTATAACGAAACATCCTTAAAAGCCACTGTAGATTTATATATTACTTAAGTTTAGATTATTATAAAGTACTCCTCTAATTGCATATGCCCATTTTGAAATTCTTAGCTTACATTAAAAGCATTAGGCATGTTATCATAATCATGACACAAGTTACAAAAAAAAAATGCAGGTAGAAAGAAAAAAACATTAATTTGACAAATTCTTTATTTTTATAACATTCGCACTCGCAGCGATAACAATTGTTTAATTACAAAGCTTGGAATGTTTGAATCGTATTTTTATAGTCATAAGATCGGATATCGACTGACAATTAAACAGAATCTGTGTCAGCTTTTAAGTCGTTTTTATAGTATCTTCAAGTCTTATAATTTTTCAGCCCACCTGATGTTAAGTGGTTACTGGAACCCATAGACATCTACAACGTAAATGCGCCACCCACCTTGAGATATAAGTGCTAAGGTCTCAAGAATAGTTACAACGACTGCCCCACCCTTCAAACCGAAACGCATTACTGCTTCGCGGCAGAAATAGGCAGGGTGGTGGTACCTACCCGCGCGGACTCTCAAGAGGTCCTACCACCAGTAAAATGAAAACATCTGAAAATCTGGCGAAATCGTGCAACTTTAGCAACCTTTAAATTTACTACATATACATCAAATTGTGACGTCAAAATAATTGATTTCGCCTAGAGCTTATTAATACTCGATCACATACCGACTTACACGACATTACCAGAATAATCGACTACCTTACGGCACGTGTTACCTTAGATCAAAGTAACAGAAACAAACTGCTTGTCCTTCAGAACGAAACATTGACACATAAAAAATTAACACTAATTACATAACCGAAAATAAATTATTTACTGAAAAAATTATAAATAGCTTTTACTTTGAATCAAAAATTCAATAAACAAAACCAAAAATTCTGATAATGAAGGAAGGCTTTCATGGTCTTTACCAGAAGACAAAAAGGCTTAGCTCAGATTCCTTCCTGAAGTAACAACGCTTTAAAAGCAGAGCAGGGCTTTAAAACAAACAAAAAAACTTAATAAAATAAATTACATACTTATGTGTAAGATGACAAGAAAATGTGGTGTGTTGTAAAAATTTCAGATCTGTCTTGTTTTGTTGATTCTTATTGGTGTATACATCTGACCCGTCGGATCAGCAACTCGCCTTACACCCCATGTTACTTCAGGAGAAATCTCAGAGTACAATCTCAGACTATGTTTGTAAACTCGATCGATCCTTTTTGTTAAACAAATACGCACTGTGACTAAATAAAAACTTAAATTGACTTTCTACGGAACATTCAACTAGTCTGATATTTCATTTTAGTTAATAACCACGCTTTTGCTACAACTACGTAATTGATTATTTAAATTTTTTACTAAAACCTTGAGAACTATTTTTCATTTTACTATCAGTCCCAATTTATTAATACTATATTTAAATACGTTATTCTTTATTGGCGTTCACTTAAATGCTATTGCGAATGCAAAATAATTTCGGAATTAATATTAATGTCATGGCTCGGACATCACGGATTTTAATACAAAAATGTTGAGAATTTTTCCATTATTTTTTTGTGATCTTTACGAGAGGAAATAGATGATCCAAGTTACCTTCTTTATTGAGCGCTTCAACAAAACTGACTCACAAGTCCATATTGAACGATTTTCGTATTAAATATGTAGCAGTATCAAGTTTTGTTACTCGAAATATCCATTCAATGTCTTCAATTAATCTTGAGCTTAAATTAGAACGTTTATAACTTTAATCTAATCATTATACAAAGAAACGATTGTAGAAGCTTAAAAGTTCATCAAAAGTTCATCAGTCTAGTTGAAATAATTAGGAACTCTTAGATTTAATATCCTGTGCTTATAAATGAATTTCGCACTAATCATATGTTGCTGTTGCATGTTTTATACAATATCAACTTTTATAGACATAAACCGATTTTCATCTTTAGTAGATTTTAAGGAAACCTCCGCTTTCTGAAAGATTTTGAAAATCAAATACGTCCTTAGTTTAAATTTCGCACACACTTTTTGCATATTTATTATCCTCAAAAGTTTTTAAGATTCGAAACTTGAATAGATGCAATGCTTGATTACTACCAAATAAAAAATACTCCTTTTGATTGATTCCTTATAATTTTAGTCGTTCTTGTCCTATTTGAACAGAAATCTATTTCGTAACGTTTTGTACTATCACCATTTAACTTAAAATACTTTTGTATAACACAGACCTACGAATAACACATAATAAGATAAGTAAGATGCAACATGCTGGCCCGCAGATTTACTGGTTGCGATAGCTATGTCAAACTTACAATTTTTAAAGCTTATTGCCAGAATTTTTACGCCAGTAGTCTGTGGACCACATACACGCGGAGAGCTTACAATGCCCTACGTGTCCAATATAATAATGCGTTTAGGATGATGTTGTCACTGCCGCGCTTTTGTAGTGCATCCACAATGTTTGCGACATCTCACACCGATGACTTCTTTGCAATAATGCGGAAGAGAAGTGCATCGTTATTGCGTCGAGTTCGTGACAGTGACAACAGTCTTTTGAGAATCATATCGAGCAAGATCGAGGGACTGCTGATCAATAGCCTTTGCAGTAGGCACTTGGAAGGAGAAAAATAATAATATATAATAGTATAAAATGTATATAATTATAGTTATGTGTTAGATTTTTAAGTTACTAACATAGATTATAAGTAATTATTACTAACAAAATGTTATGGTTTTAAAAAAAAAAATAACTGAAATAAAGCATTAATAATAATAATAATAATTATATGGTAAAACAAATAAGGGAAAGGTATATTTAGATGACACGATCTTTAACTACAAGAATGATGATTACGTATGAAAACTAAGATTTACTACTGAACGGTCGAATGACTACTTGAACGGTCGAAGGTCACTTGAACATCTTATATAAGAACGGTCAATTATTATTCGTTCTTTTTCGTCTTTTTGTATGTCTGTCTTTTCAGAAGTCAAAAAATGTACCGCGTCGCTGCTGGTCACGTACGCCCTCGTTCCATTTATTTTCGAATTATTTTCAAATGTCTGTCTTAGTCTATCTATGTCTAGTCATTATAGGTTTTATGTCCTGTCAAAGAGGTTGCACGCCACGACAACTACTATAGCTAAAATCTAAGATAAGAGACTAATGAAAAGTTGATGAACTTCAAACGCTTGACTTAAAACGAACTAAATCCACAACATATTCCTACAGCACACGAACTCACAGTATAACACAACAACTAACATTTTTAAAGACAATAACAAGTGAAATTTAAGTTCGAAGCAATTAACAAAAAACTCAGCTAATCAGAGACGGAATATTATTAAATATGCGGACGGTACCAATGGACTAAGAAGCTGTGCTTTAAAACTATGTCTATTAATATCTTAACTCTTTATTATGGCTTTTAATTTGTTGCTAGATAATCCTATTTTCATGGGCACTTCCTAAAAATAAATTAGCCTGATAAGAGCAGCTTTAGGCTTAACACGCCCTCAAATTCGTATGAAGAGAGATTCAAATTATTTATTGGAACGAAGTTCCTTATCGCGCGTTGTGAAAGGGGGCTAGACGGAAAAAATTCTTACGAAAAGTTGTCACGACACTTTTTAGATCCGTCATTCTGACCAATCAACGTGTAGGCGTTTATCGCGTGACATTGCTCGTATCCGATTGGTCCGCGTAATGAGTAAAGTTTCTCGAGATAGCGTTTCAACAATAGTAATTTAGTTCATAGTATTGTTTTTTTCTTCTTCATAATGCCGTAATTTATTATTACAACTTAAAAAAAAATTATTACAATTCCTTCACTAATTAATCGAAAGGAACTTCGTTCCATCCGGGTGTCCCTTGACACCTCTGAAGTTTTTTAGTTCTAAATTTTATTAAGTACTAGACGCTGTCAGCTAAACAGTTGTTCAAAGTACCTTCCAAGTGGAACTCATGAGTTCTCTATCAGAAATAGACGAGGCAGCGACAAAAGTCCGTGCGGGCTCACAGTTCGCCTTGCCACAGCGAATTACGGAAATTTATAATTTTTCTGGACTTGTTTTCTTATTACACGGCATTATTTTATAAAATTACGTAAATACTACACTACTGTAAAAATAATTTAACACTAAAAACTTTAACGAGATCAATTTGAATATTTCATTTATATTAATTATGGCTAATGTCATTCAAATTATTAATCACTAAATAAAACTTAAAATATCACAAAAGTAACCGAACACAAACCAACGCTTCTCTCTAAGACAGTGATTCTCAACCACTGTTCCGCGGCACTTTTGTGTGCCGCCAAATTTTGCGAATATATAATAATGTTAATATTATTAAATTATATCATTTTAAAAGAAAAATATTTTAAACATGAATATATATTTAAATCCACAAAAAAAATATTATAGTATATTTTAGTTTATTTCGTATATTCAAATTTTTTGATAAACTATTTATGCAGAGTGTTGTAGTAAGTAAATAATTTTTATCTTTTTTTTTTTGTGTGCCGCCAAATTTTGAAATCGTTAAATATGTGCCGCAACAAAAAAAAAAGTTGAGAATCACTGCTCTAAGAGAATACATCAACATAAAACGTATTGTATATTGACGATATAATTAAACTGAGCATTCGTATTGTAAGTCGAAACAAATCGATGTAAAATGAATTTAAGAAGTGTTAGCGAGCCGTGGATTCCTGGGACACTGCATAAGATGCCGTTGCCAGGGCAGATCCCGGGCCAGCACGTTCGTGAGGCAGTACGGGCATTTCCACTCGTCCATGCCAAGCGCTGTCGAGATAAAATACTCTAACAATATCTCGACGTCAAGGCCAAAGGATTAGCGATGCTAGCTATTTCGAATCGTTTGAAATTTTATAAATTTTATTAAAGTCCAAAAAAAAATTTTTTTTTATGGCTTAGGTTGGTGGACGAGCTCACAGCCCACCTGTTGTTAAGTGATTACTGGAGCCCATAGACATATACGACGTAAATGTGCCACCCACCTTGAGATATAAGTTCTAAGGTCTCAAGTATAGTTACAACGGCTGCACCACCCTTCAAACCGAAACGCTTTACTGCTTCACGGCAGAAATAGGCAGGGCGGTGGTACCTACCCGTGCGGACTCACAAGAGGTCCTACCACCAGTAAGATTCAAGAATAAGCTAAACAATTACACAACCATGCGTGGATTGTTCTGGAATTAATCACAGTATTTCCTGAGCGGATACGTACTTATTCAAACGAAGCTTAGGAGAAGTCTAAAGTAGGCAGAGGCTAGCTGATATCCATGACCAACGACAGCCACTCACCAGTAGATGACTCTCTTATCCCTAGTGTCAATAAAAAACTTGATCTTTTTTTATTGCTAGGTGGAAGAGCTCACGCTCTATCCGATCCCTGCCTCACCCATCTAAGCAATAATTTTTTTTTAACAAAAATCTACTTACGGTAACAATTAACATGATAGTCACTGTCTTCTACCCTCAACGCGGCGCCACATTTCTGACAAACCTTCCAGCTGCCCTCGCTGATTGTGCACTCCTCTGGAACATTAAACAGCTAAGTGAAATGAGTGAAACAGAAGATCGCCTTCAACAATAGCAAACCAAACTAACAACTATTCAAACCTAACAAATTAAATATTTCTTATATCCTCTCGACTCTAATCAGGATATTAGAGCGAAATTATAAAATCATTGTATTATCATCGGATCTTGATGCGTGTAATGACTTTCAAAGATTCCGTTACATAAAAACATATGAATACAAATCCAATAAAAGCCTGTTGAAATGTGTCATTACATTAATGCCATTTTACTTAGAGGTTAAGGACTGGAGTCGAAAAAAGTGAAGGGGACTTAACTTTGGAGCTCCTAAGAAGTCATACAGTAACCTGTATGTACAGTTATTTATATGGGTATATACCTGCCTAAGTTCCTCTACTCTTTCTAACATTTCGAGTACTGATGGTAGAGGATCAGTTCTAAGCACTAACAGAATGGCTACTTTTTTTTTTCTTCTACTTTTCTACGAGCTATTTCAGCTTCTCCTTAACGTGTAGGTGAGCTCACGGGGCTCAAACCGGAGTTTTGCTAACACTGACCCTAGCAAGAGCAGTACTTCCCAGAATCTACCACCGGATCGGAAACGCGACCCATTGAGAAGATCCGTCGAGAAAATCAGTGGGCTATGTCGACAGCTAGATGGTTGTTATGACAATTGAAAATGCGACTTCATATCTTAAGCCTGGTAGAAGTATTCACTGCAAGACGTCTGTAGGTGTGGCGGTAGACATCACAGAACACAAGATATTTGACCGATGCCTGAATCTCACAACATTTTCAAGATAAGCTCGCATATATACAAGTTCCGAACAACAACATTTGGACCGTCGGTCTACCGAGCAATATCACCCGCTCGGTGGAAGATCTTCCTTTTGTCGTCTAAGCCTCTACAAAGTAGTCTGACTCCCTAAGTTACAAAAATTGCTTACCCAACAAATGATTGTGTAGAGTCCTAGCTTCCAACGCGACTCTACAATGTGGGCAACGCGCTAGCACCACGCAGCGCCTCCAATAGTGGGACTCAAGGGCTTCTGCTCTCACTCTCCTGCCGCACCAAGTGCATGTGGTGCTAAAAACCAATATTTTTTGGTTTAGCTTAGCAGCCCACCTGGTGTTAGGTGGTTACTGGAACCCATAGACATCTAACGCAAATCCGCCACCCACCTTGAGATAAAAGTTCTAAGTTCTCAAGTATAACTAGTCAGGTCATAAATTCTGTCACATGTTTAATGTAAAATAATTGAAACAAGTTTATTCATTATGTAACCATTCATATACCAAAATGAACTTAACAAAATATAGATTCTTATGACACTAAAATGACCTCCGTGATTTTGAATACAGGCCTTCAATCTGCGCGGCCAGTCGTCTATCTCAGCACGAACGAGGTCCATGTCAATATTGGCGGCTGCCTTAATCAAGGATGTCTTGAGTGACTCCAAATTGGGATGAGGCTTTGAGCACGCCTTTTCCTCCAAGTGTTGCCATATCTTGTAATCTAACGGATTCAAATGTGGACTGGAGGAGGGCCAGTCTTCGTGCCGGATGAAGTCGATTTCACGCGCCGCCAGCCAGTCTTGTGTGCTCTTCGCTCTATGAGCTGGCGCCGAATCTTGTTGGAATACCCAGTGCCTGTTATTGAACATGGTATGAGAAACAGGTTCCACAAGGTTCGTCAGGACTGTATTTTGATACACAACTGCATTCGTTTTTACACCTTTCTCACAAAAATGTACCTCTGTTAAGCCCCAATAAGAAACTCCCAACCATACCATGAGCGAGGATGGAAAATGACCTNGGATGTTTTGGGAGATCCTAAGCTGGGCGAATCTCTGTAGTCCAAATGCAGCGGCTCGTAAACCGTGATGGGTCGCTCTTTAAGCTGAAGTTTGGACGGTTCGTGGTCGTAATGGATCATCGAGTGTCGATTCTCTGCGTTCCGATTGGTCCGACGGTAGACAACTTGACTTTGGCTGTCCGTCGCGTTCAGACTTGAATTTTCTTGGAAATGCACCTTAAATATTAAGAGTTTGAACTGTATTTTATTACTTCCATTATTTTTACTATGGTCTTTTTTCACGGAAACGTAATGTGATGCAGTATGAACTTTTGTTACTTTGCCAATCTATTGTATCTTCAAATACCTAATTACTATACTATACTAAGAGCACATCTGTAGAAATATAGTGTTAAACAGTTAGTTAGATTGTTTATTATAAAAAAAAAGAACACAATATTCCTAACCTAAAAATATATAGTTACAACACTAGTCCATGAATAAATCTTCTTTAGGCTTGTGGCGGGTAGCCATCATACAACGCAAGATAATTGACAGATGCCTGAATCTCGCTTACGACATTTTCAAGATAAAGCGCATATATACAAGTTCCAAACAACAACGTACCGGACCGTCTGCTTCTTTGTACTATATTCTCCAAAGGCTTAAGGAAGATTTATCCATGGACTACTTAGACTTCTTTATTTCTCCATAAATAAATCTTTAATTAATTAAGATTTAATTTATGTAATCTTTATTTATTTAATTATTAATTCTATATTTATATTTTCTTCCATTTAGTAGACAGCGGCTTGGCTCTGCCCTTGGCATTGTTGAAGTCCATGGGCGACGGCAACAAGACACCATCATGTGAGTCGTATGCTCGTCTGCCTACAAGGGCAAGAAAAAAAACTCTGAATTCCCATTATTTTACAGATGATTGAAAATTTCTCGAATCACCCATCAGTTTCCGTATACAAATTAATAAAAATACTTGAAATATAAAATTACTTTACGATTAGCAATACAAATATAGAAACTGGTTTGAAACAGTCTTGCCATATTAGGACATCAAAGCTAAGCTAATAACATTGTCATTAGAATTTGATTATTCACAACAGTTAGAATATTACAGTTACAATTATTTACCGGTGGTAGGACCTTTGTGAGTCCGCACTGGTAAGTACATTTCTGCCGTGAAGCAGTAATGCGTTTCGGTTTGAAGGGTGGGGCAGCCGTAGTAACTAACTATACTTGAGACCTTAGAACTTACATCTCAAGGTGGGTGGCGCATTTACGTTGTAGATAAAAATAAAAAACTCATAGGTACCTTTTCGGCAACGGAGGCTGATGACCGCGGTGAGTGCTTCGGACTGACTGCGCTATCCAGCCTCAATTTATTATAGCCTGGAGAACTACAAGAGTCTTTGGACGTCAATCGACTGGGAGCGTATCTTTTCGTTGGCGACTTTTTAAGGCTGCTCCTTACTTTGTTGGTATAACTACCGCTGACGCTAGATGGAGCCAGCGTACTGCCGCTAGCATTGGACGCCATGGACTTGAGGCTGTACGAGGAAGTAGCTCCGATCGATGACGTCATTCCTAGGGAGTTGGTCATTCCGCTAGTTGCGCTTCTACTAGACGGAGTGATGCTCGTTGTATCTTCTTTATCGATTGTTTGGTCCGTCAGTATTTGTTCTTCTGTCGGTGCCTGGTTTAGAATCCTCTGGAACGTTGTCGAAATAAGATCCCTTTAAGTTAACCTTCCTAAATTTAGTGAGTAGCGTCCAAATATTGGACTGTCGGCGTACAAATAGTGGACTGCCAACAGACCGCCATACTTTTTCGGTAATTTAGATTTTACTATTTCTAACACATTTAAAACTGTACTAGATGATGACCGAGCTTTACTCGTTTTTTTTTTTGATAACGCCATCTTGTTGTGTCTTTAAAGCGCTTAGTTGCCCTCAATTAAGAAAAATAGTATTATTATTCGCCAATAGATGTCTGGAAGAGTTGATTATTAAAAACACGAATAAAACAACATTTTCTGAAAATAAATCGTAGCTTGATCGATTTATCGCCCCCGTAATCCCCTGTATACTAAATTTTATGAAAATCGTTGGAGCCGTTTCCGAGATTCAGATTATATATATGTTAACGGAAATGTATGTAATCCGTCATTGTATACAATTCCTAGGAAATGTATGTAATTCCTAAAATCGCACGGAAATGTGTGAAATAAATTATATTATACTTACACATTACACATTTCCTAGGAAATCTATACATTTCCTAAATAGCAATCGGAAATGTAAAACATTTAAGATATTGGTGGGTACGCGGGGACAGCGGGACGAGTCTTGCACTACGGTCAGTTGCCAACTTGCAATCCACTGGAACCGGCCAGGGATTTAAGAAGTGCCTTTGCAAGAAAAACTGTGCTACATCAAGATGTCTGTGTTTTAAAAATTAAGTATTATGTACTTCCAAATGCCATTCGAGCTTACCCTGCAAAAATAAATAGCTATATGGACTGACAAAGTATTTTAATATAAAGATTTGCTTTTATACTTTGACATTTATAATTATTTAATTATCAGACTGATTACTAGCCAAATGAAAATTTGATTTTATAAGAATAAATATAAGTTGATTTTGTGATACGTTAAAAGTTAATAGATAGTTGATTTTAGAAGTTTTAATTAGTAAGATAATATGAATATATTATTATTATTTTACGGTATGACTGTTACCCGATTGTCTCAATAAGTGTTATATTAAAAAAATATTATTATCAACGTGTTTTATATACAGAAAGCATTTACTTTATACATTTCCTAGGATATCTATGCATTAAATAGTTTTTCAAACAATATTTTATACATTTCCTAAATAGTATCGGAATTGTACACATTTCCTAGGATTTGTATACAATTCCTTGATTTCATATATTTCCGGTAACATATATATTAATATACAAGAATTGCTCGTTTAAAAGTATAAGATATATTTACAGTTGACGAACTGTATGAAATGAATGAGTTCGTGTTAGCAACAACGTCAGGTTTAAAAGCCCCGTGAGCTCACCTATTGCCTTGGTTACGCTGACATAGCCTCTCAAGGCTATCAGCTTAGGTAGGAAAAAAAAGCCAAAGTGATACGACCTCTTTCGCCCAACTCAATCCATCCATGTAAACAGCTGACCTGCATATCAATCTTGTCGAACTGCTGGAACAGATGCCGGTAGATGAGGTTCCGTCGCGTGACGTTGTCGTCGGGCGGCAGTTGCGCGCGCACCAGCCGCGGGGAGCGCGAGTAGGCGGCGAGGAGGATGCGCTCCGCCGCCGCGCGCACCGACCCCGCCGCGTGCTGCGCCCCCGCCGCGCCGCACTCCGCCACCCGCCGCACAGTCAGACCGCTGATTGACCAATTTTATCTATTACAAGCTTTTGCCCGCGACTCCGTCCGCGTGGAATAGTTACTTTGGCATAACGCTAAATTTTACCCCCACTTCATTTACGTAGAAAGTGAAAATATTTTTGAATTATAGAATGTTAAGGAAGCTATTTAAACCCCTATTTTGAATTGGTGCTCGACTTGTATTGGTTTTACCGTGATTTTATATAGCCTATAGCCTTCCTCGATAAATGGGCTATCTAACACTGAAAAATAGGCAGAATTATGGTATTCATCTAGTGTAAAGCGACTACCAAATATCTCCACACACACCAAAGACTCAACCGGAAAGAATAAAGGCTTTTCCAAATCAAATCAAATCAAATCAAATCAAAAAAGTTTTATTCAACATAAATGAAAGTACATACTTGTTGAACGTCAAAAGAATTACCGCCAATTCACAAGAATTAGCCTCCGTCCTGAGAAGAATTGGCAAGAAACTCACCGGGCATGTTTCTTTTTTTTTTTTTTTTTTTTTAATATTAGATTTTTATTTTTATTTTAAATATTTTTTTTTTTAAATATTCATATTACAGTAAGTAATTATAACATAACAATTTTAAAATATTGAAATTCCCGGAGCGAGCAACTCATTCCCACTTTGTGCAATCTTCTAGATAATCATTGACTTTATAGTAAGCTTTATTGCACAGATGTTCTTTAACAGTTTTCTTAAACCTATGTATATGTAGGTTCTGAACATCTTGTGGGATTTTGTTGTACAGGCGCACAGACAAACACCCGAATGAATTTCGTATCTTATGTAACCTACTCATCGGCACAACAAGCTTGTGTTTGTTCCTAGTATTTCTATTATGTATGTCCGACATCTTAGGAAACTCCTCAATATGTTTACGAACATACATCAAATTTTCAAAGATGTACTGGGATGGCATAGTGAGAACTTTAATTTCTTTAAATTTTTCCCTCAGGGATTCCCTTGAGTGCATGTTATAAATAGCACGTATAGCTCTTTTCTGCAGAATAAA